ATTCCTTTTAAATCAATATTTAGATGCTGAGCCGAAAAAAACATAATGTACTTCTGTGCCCAAAGCACCATGTTGTTTAATTTCCTATTAAGGTTTTAAAGTAAGATATCCAATTATTGTTCTAATTATTGTTTTTTCATGTTTTAATTGTTTGTTTATATGATAATAAAACAGGCCCTGAAGATGACAGTATAAAACTGTCGAAAGCTCGGCGAAAACCGTAAAGAAGTTTTCTCTGTTTTGACCTCTTCCGAAGATCCTCTGAAAAGATTTCCTTAACATTTTGAAAATGATTATTTGGAGATGGTGAGATGCGGTTTGGTGTGATGTAGGTTTTAGAAAAACATTTTCTTTATCGTGCCAACCTTTCGTTCTTTATTGACTTTATTATTGTGCCAGTCTGGCACTCTCAACAGGATACACAAGAATGACACAACAACGCAGAAAACAAACACTTTGAACCCTGAAGATGATCTCAATAAAGATCGAAGCGTTAGCGCGATAAAGAAAATCTTTTTCTAAAACCTACGTCACACTAGACTTCATCTCACGATCACCAAATAATCATTAACGGTCACTAAACACCACACATTTTAAAAATGTATGATAACATCTATAAAAGAAAATTTGCAAAAATGGCTGACAACAGCGGACAAATGCTTATGCAGGTAAAAGTATTCCAGTTAAAAAATTGATAATATTTCTATTATAAAACTGATAGCATTCAGAAGACGGAAATGTCTTTTTTCTCCTATTAGAATAAAAATATTTAAAAATGTATTTATAGATCTATATACAGGGTGTTCGGCTCGTGTTACAAACTTTGCCAATAGATTCTACATTCAAAATGAAACCAAAAAGTTTAAATTAATTATGGTCCAAATCTCAGCAGTTTCGGAGTTATTACACCTTTTCTAATTTTTTAAGATTTCAAGACTTTGCTTCAGATAAACAATGATAACTCCACAACTAAAAGGTTTTGTATAAATCCATTGATACCATTGAAAACTAGGCTATATTTTCAATCAGATGTGATCAATATTAAACGTGTAAACGTTCGGAAAATAAGTGTTTAGTTGCGAGAACTTTGAAAAATATATTTTTTTCAAAGTCAAAAAACTTACTATGGTGATTCTAGCCTACTATTTCCAACCCTAGAGACCAGCAAATTTCAGAAAAGGTACTCCATTTAATATCTTTTTAAGTGGTGTAATTTCTTTTTTATTTACTTTTTTTAAAGGTGAAGAAATAGATGGAGGAAAGGAAAAAAACCGTGGCTAACAGATTGGTAAGGTGGAACGATTAATAATAATAAAAAATGAAAAACTTAAATGTAGAATCGACTGGCAAAGTTTGTAACACGAGTAGCCGAACACCCTGTATATTTTTGTTGTAAAGGGAATAATAAATAAGGTCTTGTTGTAAGTATTCATCACAGCCACTCATTACATGTACTCACAAGCTGACCTACCTGCAACTCCAATATCATCACCATCCAAGCATACTGCAATTTCGACCTCTAACTCGAATCCTAACAAACTACCTTCGACAACCAAGAACAGGAAAGAGTGGTGAAAAAAGGGGAGAACAAGACAGAATGAAGAACAAAATCACTGTAGGTTCATAGTGTCAACCTCAACTCTCGAATTTTGAGATGGGAAGTTAGTGTCCGAACGGGGCGAAGTCACGATAGCACAAGTGGTAGAGTAGCGGCGTATTTAGCCGAAGGTCGTGGGTTCGAATCCCGCTCGTGACATTGACTTTTTTATCACAACCAATACCTTTCATAAATATTAATTAATTGAAAAATGTTAATTGGTCAATCGGACCACGAACTGTAACGGTTCTAATTTACCTTTCAAAAATAAAAGGCTGCTTTACAACACATAATTAAGCCGGTATGGACTTACCAACTGGAAGTGTGGAAGTGTGGCAAAACATTGCAATATCCACCGCATTCAAACTGCCCAGTCCTCAATACTACGAAAAATACTAGAAGCTCCATTTTATGTATCAAACCTAACTACACATCTCTATACGCGTCTCTTTCGTTCAAGATGAAATACGTTCCCTTACCGTAAATTTCATAAAAACCTCGCAACTACCGTAAAGCATTCAACTTGAATAAGATAATGAGGGCGGAAGTATTTTTTACTCATTGCATAGCCTGTAACTATGATCAACTTTGAAAATACACCCATTTTATGTAGGTGTTTTCAGATGCCTATTAGTCATCCGGGTTTTATTTTGTCTAGCTTGTGTTTGCCAGTTTTGACGAGAGTTCTTAAACCATGAATTTCCGATGTCTGGCACCTCTTGAGCTCGTCATTTTCCTTTTGTTCTTAGTGGAGGGAAATGGAGGAATTCATGTTTGATCTCTTTATCCCAATAGACATTCGGTCTATAGCTGGTCTTTGCACATCTTCATTGCCTATACTGCTAAAGCAATTTCAGATATCGAGAATGAAAGTAATTATCTAGTAAATGTGTTCTAAAGCAAATTTAATATATTAGATAGTATTTCTAGCATTTCTGCACCTCGCTACTTTTTTTTACATTCTTTCAAAAGGGTTTCACCACTTTATGGTATAATTTTCCAAATGCTGATGTTGATAAGGAGGATATGAGAAAGCTAAGATTCGATATTCTAGACTATATGTGAATTGTTGCATTTTTCCTAGTTTCCTAGTCCGGTTCGACCAACTTGAATAAGACAATGTGGTTGGCAGTTTTCCCCCTCATTGCATAACCTAGAAATGTGGTCATCATTAAATATACCCATGTTTATGTAAGTATTTTACCAGATCACAGTGACCAGTATCCCTATCACTCCCCTGCGTTTTATTCCGTATAGCTGTAGTTTGTCAATTTTGGTGAGGTTTATTATGACTGGCACCTATCTTCTTTCGTTTTGTGATGACCCATTTGGTTATGAAACAGTCTACGCTTGATCAGTAGATCCTCTTTGTCCATATTAGTAATAGCGATGCTCATATATTTCAGAAATCGTGAATTAATGTAGGTAATAAAATAAAACGTGTTCCCAAGCAAATTTTAGATAGTATTTCTAGTAATATTCATCTAGTTACATTCTTAATGGGAAGTTTCGACAGGGAATTGATATTTTTGTTTCGATATTAATCTTACGATACTGATAATGAGTACAGTATTGATAATTTTCTTTCTAAAAAGAATCCCTAAGTATATGTTGAAGTTTTGGACCTGACACCGACCATTGTTCGATCTACGATTATTTTATAGAAGGACAAGTAAGGAAAAGCTCAATTTAGGCTCCATAAACAAACAAACTGAATGGGATCAGGCACACAAAAATAATCAATAAAATCAGAAACCCATAATCCTGGTATTTCTTAGGAATGATCGAGTCGATTGCGCTGAACTAAGTAACTAGGAAAGTACAATAAGTCAAAAAGTTAAAATGATTAGGGAACCCCCAATTCCGAGTCTCCTTTCATCATCATCACCATCCGCTGACGTTTTCCACCATGCTCTTGCAAAGTGTTCAATATTACCACCAAATAATGGAGTAGTTTCTAATAACTTAATATTGTAAAAAGAAAAATATAGCACTTTCATTTATTTGTCTATCTGCACGCATAAGGGCATATCAAATTGTGAGATGTTCCTATAACTTGAGCGCATCGTCTATCATCAGCTTCTTCAAAAAAGCTCGCTTTTACTTTATTACTAGCTGTAAGACCTAGAAACAGTTCACTTTTCTTAAATGATGCATTGTTAATCCATAATATTTTAAACCATTTTTAAATAACAGCAAATAAAAGCAATGCTTTTTTTCTCGTCTTTGATTAATTTAATAATAATCTTTATTAAATCGATTATATTTATTGGTCTGATTGACCAAATTACTTCTTCCAATTAATTATTATTTTTATATAAGGTCTTGGTCGAAATGGAAAAGTTAGTCACGAGCGGGATTCGAACCTACGACCTTCGGCTCAACACGCCCCTATCTAACCACTTGAGCTATTGTGACCTTGAAGTGGATAGAGCAGGGGCGTATTAAGCCGAAGGTCGCAGGTTGAAATCCCGCTTGTGAGACTAACTTTTTCATTTCAACCAAAACTTTACATAAAAAGAATAATTAATTGAAAGAAATAATCATTATTTTGTTCTTTGTATTTCCCCCCAATCGAATTCGGCAGATTCATCAGAGTTATACAAAACTCTTTCACATTGACCCTTACCTGAAACACGCTTTTCCAATGTTACACATCGATGAAATTAATTGTAGTAATGTGTAGAGGTTAGTGACCGTTAATCGATAGTTATTCAGATATCGTGAGATGCGGTCGGGTGTGATGTAGGTTTCAGAAAAACGTTTTCTTTATCGTGCCAACGTTTCGATCTTGTATTTAGATCATCTGAGATGATGGCACAATTACGCAGAAGACAAACACTTTGAGCCCTGAAGATGATCTCAATAAAAGATCGAAACGTTGGCACGATAAAGAAAATGTTTTTCCGAAACCTACATCACACCCGACCGCATCTCACGATATCTGAATAACTATTAATTGTAGTACTGTGATATCTGGTTGAAGGCGTAAAAAGATCCAAATGTAAATCATTCATCATTCTAAACTGTATTTACTTGAGCCTTTATAGTTATAGAATCCAGATAGGTTGTTGTATTTGTTTCTCATCTTCTTGGCGATCAGGACAGTCGGCATTGTTGTTGCATAGTCTATCAAAGGGCCATAGCAATTTTGCGGATACAAAATAAACATTCGACGTTCCAGGGTGTTTCTTTTTATCAAGTGAAATCCTTGGACGTACCAAGACACCGAATTGTTTAAATTGAATCCAGTTGCCAATTTTTCACTGAGACAATAAATAATTTAAAAAGCATTCCAATAAGAAAACACGTTTTCAAAAACAAAATACATTAATTTAATTAATTAGAAATTAATCAATGATCACATCTTAATTATATCATAGATTTGGGTATTAAAGCAGTATCCTTTTTTAATTTTTATTGAGATTCAAAACTGACGTTCCTCTTTGAAACTGACTTTACTCAAAAATGTTATTTATTGGTAAAAATAAATATTGCATATTAAACACCGGTTTAATGTGCTTTTGCGGCGTTCACTGTCCACCGTATTGTTTCAAAATTTGGTTCCACTCCTTGGGATAATTTCTTTGGATGAAGACGAGCACCTGTTGGATCTGGCGTACTTCCGTCGGTGAACACTTGGGACAGGCTCCTCTCAGGACTAAAGGAGCGTAAACTAGAAACAAAAATAATACAACATTTTTTATTGGATTCATAAAAATATTGATGTAGGAAAGAGATACTTGCTTTTAAGGCGTCGACCGACAGGATCGCAAGGTCCTTCTCCTATGGCGCATCTCAGCTGCCTCATGAGGTACCTCTTGTCCTTGAGGGCGGCTTCTAGAGCGTCGCCAGAGATCGAGGAATCGTCAGCAGCGAAGCAGATAATCGTGCAAGCAAAAATTACCGCTATCTGTAACAAAAAAAAAAAAATTAAAATACAACTTTTGTGCTTGATTCGTTATGTAGTTTGGTTGATTCTGGTCGTTTTGGTCTTTCGAGCTGGTACTTGTCATCTTCAGTGATGGATTCTGTAAAAACATATAATTCCATCTAGCACTGAAGGTAGGCAAGAAACTACAAGTTCATCATCCCATAGACCCTAAGAAGAAATCTCATATCATTCATGAGACTTCCACGTACTCAAAACTGCAGTTGTCGAGAGAACTGCCTTTTTTTCGTTTAATTGAAAACAAATGCAGTCAATATTTTTAATTGTAAAAGGGAAAGGGAAATTACGACGGATCCACAAAAGATGACCGCAGGCCCAAACTCATAACTAGGTTTAAAGTTTATCCAGGCATAGACCCAGGATTGAATTAATGTATTAGTTATAGAGCTTGGAGGACAGAGAGAAAGTTATGCCGGTGAAGAGAGGCTGAGGGGATGTAGGTAGCTCACCCTCACGCCAATATACCACGGAGATAAATCAAGCCGAACCGCAGGACCCAAGACACCCCTAACTACCAGAACAGATACCATTTGGATAAAACGGCCGCAAATCTAGATTACTGTTTCTCCCTCACCCCTCCACCCTCGCATTCATAGTAATGGTATTATGTGTTCGTCCCAACTCTATCTCGAACGTAATTGAATCTCGAGACTCGTGAGCCCAATCCATTGAGATCCACCGATAATTTTTTTAACCGTGAAAACTTAATTGACTGTATGGAAAAAAATAGATACATCTTCATTCCTAAGGAATCACATCGATTATTATATAAATAATTACTTTTTATTTCAATTTATCATTTTTCCATAAGGAAGAAACATAAAGTAAATATGTAAATACTAAATGAGTCGCTCTTCAACCTTACCTGGGAAAATTGGGCTCTTATTGGTACATCTTGTGAACCCCTGTCCAAATTTTTATTAAAACTTAGTTTATTTCCTTACTGTTTGACAATGCCTTTTGTTCTTAAAAAACAGGTTCTTAATGCAAACAAAATGTCTCGTTTTTAGCCATGTGAGTTTAGACTTCTATGTATTTTTCTTATTATCGTATTCTTCACCAACTCTATTTCTGATTAAATTAAAAGATAAAACCAACAACACTACTATTTAGACAATTATCGTTCGCATAATCCAACTGCAGGAAACACCGAAAATAAATTCATTTAGTTACAGTACAATTAATGTAGGTTGAGATGAGGAGTGGATCGAAGTCAAATAGCTCAAGTAGTAGAGCAGCGGTATACTGAGCCGAAGGTGGGTTCGAATCCCGCTCGTGGCACTGGGTTTTTCGTTTCAACCAAACCCTTACATAAAAAGATTAATTAATTGAAAAAAGTAATTTGGTCAATAGACTACTAAATATAATGGAGTAAAATCAATGGTAAACCTCGACATTATCTAATGGGAAAATTGTCCTCCCATCGGTACCATTCCTTTGTAAACCACATCACCAGTTTTAATAAAATTTTGTACAAATCTTCTTTCATTTTTAACAATACATTTTTAAACAGGTCATTATTGCCAGGAATATCCCATTACGAACATGATATATCTACTTACAACTGCTATATTGATGTAGGAAAGAGATACTTCCGGCCTAGATCAAATTTGAAAACTGTTCCTCAACTGACTCGCGAATGCTTTGTGGATCGATGTCTTTCCTAATTTTGTCTTCATATTATAAAATGAATATTACTATTTAATATTTATTTCATGATTATATAAACAAAATCTGTTAAAAGGCCAGGCGAATTAGTGGCTTCTATGCAACACCAAACGAAGAAACTGTTAGCTAGCAATCACCAATCATCGAAATGTACTAATTATTAAATTTCCACAAACAAAACTATGTTGCAAGCAAATTTTTGTAAATGAATTATGGTACGTATTTGATCTGAGCATTCCTCGAAACACCGTGCTACTTTTCGAGAAATAATTTTGGCATTCAGATTATCATTTTGTCCTTGCGAAAATACCCGAGAAGGATTAGTTTAGTTTATTAATGCAAACGAAAAAATTGTAATTTTTTTATTGAGTGACTCCTTTAAACTAATAAACTAAGAAACAATCTTAGAAAATTTTGAAGAAAAATGAGCCTGTCAGATTCAAAATCGTACTGACACTTTCACCCCATTTAGACATTTTGCTAGTGCACGGGTAAGGACGAGTGGTAATTATTTTCAGTTATACAGACTGTTTTTTAATGTTTCCAAAATAATAAAAAAGTCTCCCGGATAGGTCGTGAAGTTGAAACGATAAGCCGTTTCCTTCAGGCTTACCACATAAAAACTCCGTGAAAATATAATTTTTGTGATAGTTCAACACTAATGCCAAGCTGGGATTAAGGATGGAACGATAGTTTCAATTAATTTAGTTCAATTAATTTTCAGTGAATTTAGAAAATTCAACGTATATGAGCTGCCTTTTAACTATCATGAAATCCCATACGCTACCTAAGCAAAACCTTGGCATGATATTAGTTGTACTCTTCCGAAAGAAAGCAAGTAAAAAAAAGAATGAAAAGTTCACCGTCAAATTCCGAAAAATGGGCAGAAGCTCGCATTTGCCTATTGAAAGTAAGCTTTTACTTTACCAAGCCTATAAGGACTTACGGCATACGGCATAGGCTTTGGGCTCTGCCAGCATACCAACAGCAAAATAAAAGAATTTACAATGAGGTAATTAGAAGCTTACTCAATGCACCCTGGTACATCAGAAATGAAGACCTCCACTGTGATTCAAAATGGAAATAGTAGAGGAACCGCTATAGCCCACCATCAAAAGCTTAGAGGACATGATAACGTATTAACCAGTCCACCTGTTAAACATCAACTAACCAGACGACTCAAACGCTTTCTGTTTTTTCCTCCAATCTTGAAATTTCCAATCAGCTATTATCACAGCTAATATGTAATCTTTTTCTAATAACTACCATAGCCAATAAAAATTACATATATGATATATTTTTTCCGTTCTTAAATGACACATTCACCGTATCACCGCACCAGCAATCATGAGGCATTTAAGCGATTGATGGTGGGTTAAGTTGGTTTTATAGGTAGCTCTACTGTTTCAATTTTATCTGCCGTACAACATTTGATTAATAGGCAACCAATGTAATTGCAAAAATGTTTATTGTTAAAAGTCACGATACAAAGAAATTCAATTTTACCCAAACATGTGTAGTGATTAGTGACCGTTAGACGATAATTATTCAAAGATCGTGAGATGAGGTCTGGTGCTATCTAGATATAATCCTAAGGATATGATAGAAGACTATATCTTTCTGTTGTTGATGTAAGGTGAAGAGCAAGACTGTTTTTTCAATTTGTACCTACAGTGATTTTTTTTTCTTCATTCAGTTTTGTCCTCCCCGTTTTTCACCACTCTTTGTAAACTCGAGATATTCTTGGTGCCGGAGGTAGTTTGTTAAGATTCGAGTCAGAGGTCGAAATTGCAGTATGCTTGGATGGTGATGATATTGGCGTTGCAGATAGGTCAGCGTGTGAGTATATGTATTGAGTGGCTGTGGTGAATACTTACAACAAAACGTTCTCGCAACTAAACACTTATTTCCCGAACGTTTACAAGTTTAATATTGATCACATCTTATTTAAAATTTAACCTAGTTTTCAATGGTATCAACGGTTTATTCAAAACCTTATAGTTCTGGCGTTATCATTGTTTATCTGAAGCAAAGTCGTGACATCTTAAAAATCAGAAAAAGTGAAATAACTCCGAAACTGCTGAGATTCGGACCATAGTGAATTTAGACTTTTTGGTTCCATTTTGAATGTAGAATCTACTGGCAAAGTTTGTAACACAAGTAGTCGAACACCCTGTATTGGTCAGTAAATATACTTTTAAATATTTTTATTCTAATAGTAGAAAAAAGACATTTCGGTCTTTTGAATGTTGTCAGTTTTATATTATAAATATTGTCAATTTTTTAACTGGAATACTTTTTCCTGCATAAGCATTTGTCCGCTGTTCTCAGCCATTTTTGCAAATTTTCTTTTATAGATGTTATCATACATTTTTAAAATGTGTGGTGTTTAGTGACCGTTAATGATTATTTGGTGATCGTGAGATGCGGTCTGGTGTGACATAGGTTTTAGAAAAAGATTTTCTTTGTCGTGCCATCGTTTCGGTCTTTATTGAGATCATCTTCAGGGCTCGATGTGTTTGTTTTCTGCGCAATTGTGCCATTCTTGTGTGTCGTGTTGAGAGTGCCCAGGGAAAAAGAAAAGGGAAAAACAGAAAGCGTTTGAGTCGTCTGGCGAGGGGTTCATGTTTAGCAGGTGGACTGCTTAATACGTTATCATGTCCTCTAAGCGTTTGATGGTGGGCTATAGCGGCTTTCGCTTCCTCTACTATTTCCATTCTGAATCACGGTGGAGGTCTTAATTTCTGATAACTAGGGTGCACTGACTTAGTTTCTCATTACCTCATTGTAAAATCTTTGAATAATTTACCCAAAAATTTAACACAGAAAAGATTATCATACCTTACATTATTTAAGTAAAATTTATCAGTTTTTTAAACTAACAATTAGAATTTATTCGCAATGAGGTATACATACACACATAGTACGTCATGCTTCGTTAAGGTTACAATATTTCCCAAAATTTAGCGCTTAGATATTCCTCCTTTGTAAAAGAGATTTTTTATGATTTTTTTCCTTATAACTCTTATGAAATGATGTGTGAATATTGAAAATTCTCATGGCGAACAAATGGTTAGAATCACATGTTTTGGCTTTTTTCTTACAGAGCAAAACTAAACTTAGTTGGCCTGTAGTATTCAGTGAGATAACATCACAGACCTTTAAGTAACTTTTTAAATTTTCTCTTAAATATTTAATGTTAGCGTACATGAACAAAGCAGGTATATTCATCATTTCGAATTTACAAAAATAGGGGCTTACAGTGTTCTCTGTAACTAGTACAATACATTAAGCGTCAAACCATTTTTTTTCTTTTGTAACTTTAAAATCTTCACAGCATAGCTTCTCAATCCTAGAATTGCACTCCATAGCCGGTTATGTCCTAGAAAAGACCCATGTACAGCATTCTCAACGTGTTATTAACTACTTGATTCCTCAATTTGTAAATTTCAAAGCATAAATCAAGCGTTTGATGCTTATTTCATCAATGTGACTATACTAGCTTAAGTGATTGTCAAGTTGAGCCCTAAGAATTTGACATTATTTTTAAGTACCGCCAGAGAATTTTATAAACGATTTTTTCAAAATTTAAAACCAAGAAATTGGAGTGAAAATAATCACTTATATAGCTTAAAATATTCATAAAGCTTATCTTATCACTGATATGAAACTTTTATCATCAGCAAATTGGAATTAACAACCAAAATGTAATAACAGAAAAAGTTTTACTGTTAAATATTTCAGATTCGGAGAAATTTTATTAAAGTTTAACATATTCCAATTGTACAAAAATAAGCATGCGTCAGAAGAAAATCACTGAAACATTTTTCATATCGCCGATCGAGGAAAAAAATATTCATCAAGGGGGCTTGTGAATGATCCGAGATTGAAAACAGTTGTCGGATAAAGATCGTCATTTTTGATTAATACCGAGAGTTGGATGGGCGGTTTAGCCGCAGAACTCAATAAATGTCTAATTTAGGAATCGGACTGGAAGAGATTGTTGGTCGGATTGGAAAAACTGAGAGATAACTCTGTTCTGGTTATTACTTGGTGCGCCTAAAGTGGACAGCTTCCTCTCTCTCTCTCGCTCTCTCCATCTCTCTATTTCTCCCTTGTCCAGGGGGTTGGAAGGTGAAGTCACGACGGGTTGCCGACCAGCATCACTCCCATCCCTCTGCAGCTGCCGATTTCTCATTTTTTACCTTCGATTCGAAAGTTGCCAGTGCATCCACCAACCGGCCTACCGGAATTATTTTTTAATGGAGTTTAAATTTTAAAATGTATCAAAGAGTTTTTTTAGTCTTACTTATGCACAGGATATTTTTCTACATCTGAACTCTGTAACTTCTATGTTAGCATGGTAATTTCCGTTTGTAGAACGCGTTTCGACTTTTTGTTAACTTCAGCGGTAATTTTTTTTTTTTTTTTTTTGCCAGTTACTTTTTGTATGTATGTCGCAAAAGATGATAGGAGTGTGTCTGTGGTTTGTTTTCTGTTATCTTGATGGAAAATTCTTTTGCTTTTCAATTTTTATAATGTAAAACGTAAAGGATGTACGTGAGCTGTTATTGATTTTCGTTTTAGTGTGGAGTTCCTTGTGTTTCTATATTTCTAGGTTTCCTAGCATATCTATGCATAGCATAGCATATCTATCATTCGTAGAAATAGTTAATTCCAAATGCTTGAAATGAAAAATACTCCCAAAACGTGTCTTTGTTTAATCATCTAAAATGAATTCCTCGGCTCTCTTAAAACTAAATGTCATAAATTCATATATTAAAATATTTATTACCATCTGTGTAAATAATATATTTGTAATTTTATGTATTTGATCATTCATATTTACAATATATTATGTCTTGAAGGTAGTTAGCAACCATTGTTCTTCTCTCAACTTAACTCAAGGTCACTAGTCCATGGCGTTTAGGTCCCGGAGCCATCTCCGCTTTAGTCGTCTGACGGGATTTAAGGGATGGACTGTTGGACATGGGTTAGGGTGAGTGGAGATTTTATCGTGGTACTTATAAAATTTGTTGGAGATTAATTAATTTACAAAGAGTATTTTGAGGTCGTTGCGGGGGGGTGCTATTGGAGACATATTGAGATAGGGAGTTTTGACTAAATTCTAAAGACTTTGGATTGGAAGAACTGAATTCGTTGGATATTAGTAGCTTTAAAGGTGCCCCATAGTTTTAGTCCATATATCCAAATCTGTTTCAGTAATATTTTGTAGAGCGAATTTTTTTCCGACATTAGATTTAGGCCCAAGTAGTTTATAGCGTAGTCAATTCCTGTCTTTTAATTTGTATGCATGGTTCCAGGTGAAGCGTGAGTCAATATAGAACACAAAGAAGCGTAAGCCGTCAGTTATAGGGATAGAAATGTTGTTGATGAATATTTTATGAGGTTTTGCTTCGGATGGTAAATTTAACACGGCTGCATTTGTTTTCGTTAATCATTATCTTTCAAGTTTGCTTCATATTCGTTCAACGCGTACATGGAGCTCCTTCGAAGCAATAGCGGGATCAGGATGAGAGGAAAGCACGGCATATGTCTGATATGTAGAGGAGGTAAAGGAGTGGTCCTAGCACACTGCCCTAAGGCCCTCCCGCTCTCATAGGGCAATAGGCCGATCCTTGGCGAACTCAAAAAAATCGACCTGTTAGTTGGAGCAAAATTAAGTATAAATCGTTGGAAGGACGCGCTTTAGTTTGTAGAGGAGCTATATTAAATAATAAATTACATAATCAAAGAGATACAATACTTTTTTATCAATATCTTTTTCACGTTAGACTTTCGTCATTATTGTATCCAATGTAATGGGATAAATTCGGTTATGATACACGCCCAAAAGTTCAACTTTTCCTGATAAAAAAATCCCCGCTTAAGAAAATTAGCATCTTGAATTTCTATACACTTATAAATAGTCGGACAACACCAATTAAATTTTACAAAAAGTTATAAACTGAAAGAACATGGTACTAAACAAAGAAGAAACAACTTATTAAATAAAGGCTAAAAGTTTGTTCCAAAAAAAGAACTTGTTAAAACGAATTTCCTTTCCCTTGGTTCATCATGTTTTATGTTTGTTTGTTTTTTTGACAATAAGTATCGATGTATTGATAAAAATGCGTTTTCTCGAGATTACATCGACTAAAAGTACTCCAAATACTTTACCAAACAGTAAACAAAAGCAGATGTTTTAAAACATATCCTGGAAATTGATAGAAGTAGAAAAAATTGAATACTTTTATGGTCGAAGCAAAAATGACCTTTGGCTTAGAATTATTGACCCTAATGGGTAAGACTTAAAATCCCAACAAAAGTGACCTATCAAAACAAAATCATGCAAGTATCGCTAAAGAGGTTTTAATGTTAGTTTCTGTTTAGCTACGTTTTTTATTGTAAAATACGCGCATTAAACATTGACGTTTTCTTCAGAGGAAAGGTGTGATTTATTGTAAAAAAGTTGTTACAAAAGGCTTGGGCAGCGTTTCTATGAACGTTTTCATAATTTTTATATATTCTGAATTTGTCGTATAAGGCACTTGTAGGAGAAGTTGCCCAGTGACAGCTCTCCTTCATACTGAAAACCCGTCATTCATCACTCACTAGAAGGTCCCGGAGCCACTTTCGCTTCAATCGTCTTGAAGGATTTTCTGGTGGAAAAAGTAGGAAATGATAACTGTCGTACTAGTAGTAATTTTTGGTTAAGCCCCACACTTAGTCTTTTTTAATAATTTATAACATCGCTTCGATTCTTGTCTTTTCAGCTTTGTGTGGGGGATTCCGTTTATCCATGAAAAGTCCAAGATAGACAATGAGGTTCCATTTATACTAACTGGGAAATAAGCACATTTAAACAGGGTAAAATCGTTAGGTTCATATTAATTTTCCACTGTCAACAGTATTTTTAATTCATTCAAGTGTTGAGTTTTATGGAGGGGTCCGAATTACGGGTACGAATCGCTGTACATCAGCGAATTTATGTGTTGAAATGTAGAAATATCTGCAGTTTATATGAATATAGAAATGGGCCACGAATGCATCCCTGAAGCCACCCCATTCTACATCAATAAAGACACCCAAAGCAATGCTGGTTTTTTTAAGAAAAGCGGCGAAATTGTCAGCAATACGATGGAGCTGTTGCGTTGTCGAGTGAAATGAGCGAAATCCAAACTGACGATATTAGAATTTTCAATTATAGCATTAATCTTCGGAGAAGGAGTTTTCTCGAATTTTGACAACGATAGATAAGAGAAGGGTTGATATGAACTAGAAAGATCCGAAGCTTTATCTGGCTTGTGTATCCTTTTATTATGAGAACTTCATTGCAATGGAAAATATGTGATACTGAGTGCAGCGTTGTGTAGGTATGTTAAGTAAAGTAAGCCTGTGTTTTAATGAGATCATATCCTGTAGCTTTTCAAGGAGATAGTTGTTTAATAGTGTGTCGTATGTCTAATCGAGTAATTACTTTAGGAGGTAGAAAGGGTTACATATTCACTGTTCAATATTATGCCGCTAATTCTGTTAAGTATATCATGCTATGGAGTGAATATTGTTGAAAGATGCTCTGGAAACAACTTAGCTATATCGGAATTTGATTTGGTCCAATCTTTATCACTACCTACAGGGGGAGTGTGGACCTTATCAGGATATACGTACAGTCAACTGTCTCGAAAAAAAATTCCGCCTGATTTTAAAGAATCTCCAGGAATGCGGTTCCTCGACCACAATTTCCCTGGGCGATGGTGTGGAACGTTTTGCCCAGTACGGTGGCCACCAAGGTTAATACGATTGATTGAAATTGATTTAACACCCCCTCGACTTTTTTTCTCTTTGGGGCATATAACACAGAACTTCATCACGTGATGTTAACGACCTAGGGGAAAGAATTATCACCGCTACTGCAAATATCCCTAGCGACACAGTTGCAAAAATTAGTTAAATTGAACTGAAAAAAAGGCTTCAAAAATCGATATTAATTACGAACAAAGACTGAACAATGTATTACATCATGAATTCATG